AACATAGAAACTGACCCAATTGAGAGCTGTGGTGGCTGCGGCCGAGATTGTGGTGGCTCTGCAAATTGAATTGCCTCTTCGCGGCGGCGATGCGCGTTGCCCAGAAATCGGAATCCATGATTTTAAATCGAGAAAAAAAAAAGAAAAAAAAAATTAATATTTTTGGGTTAGTTTTTTGAATTTATGTTATCTGATGTGTTTTATTTTATTTCAAGTATTTTTTTTTTCAATAATTTTCTGGGAGACACGGAGCTCCATGAGATCCAAATACTGATTTTATTTTATTTTTTTAAAAAGAGGAGAGAGATGACCAGTGGACAGAGGTAGGGAGCAAATGGCGGAATATGCTACTACTATTTTATTTTCGAAATTGGATTAAAGACATGTTTTCAAACCGGCGGATGATTACTGAAAAATGCTATGATCAAGTTACGAAACCATTATGTCGGGTTTGTAATCGTTAACTAACGATTACATGATGATACAAACCGCGACAGAATAGTTTCGCAACAATGGACAGTTTCCCTTAATTACTTTTTTACGTTTATAATTAGGCACAAAAATAATAAAAATAATATTTACTATATCTCGTTGTAAACACACAAATTATGCAAATAATCATATTTTAACCACACAAAATATATCTTTATGCAATTTTTTTTTTTTAAACAATCATAACCAATTTCATTAACCAAATTATACGTGCACTACGATTTTTTCAAGTCAAAGGGAGGTTAGTAGCTCTTGCTGTCTTGCATAATTTAACCACACAAAATATATCTTTATGCAATTTTTTTTTTTTTTAAACAATCATAACCAATTTCATTAACCAAATTATACGTGCACTACGATTTTTTCAAGTCAAAGGGAGGTTGGTAGCTCTTGCTGTCTTGCATAATAAGAGCACCCGCATCGCACTTTTTTTTCTGGCCGTTTAAATGGAAGGGGGGGCGTTAAAACGGATGTGGCGCGTTCATTAAATAAGGGCCCCCCCTTTGCCGTTCAAAGCCCTGAACGCCACTTACTTGTTTTATTATTTTTCTTTTTGTTTTTCTTTTGTTGTTTTAAATGTTATTTTAATGTTATTTTTTTATTATTTATCAAAATTATTAACTTATCTTGTTTCTTTTTCTTTACATATATATACTTAGTTCAATTATTATTCAAATCATACTTCTCAATATGCATCAATAATTTACATATTTTATCATCTCATTCTTTATATATATATATATATAAATACACTACGATTTTATAACTATCTTGACTCATTTTGCCACCAACTAAAAAAATTATTTTTTTTGTTGTGCAATCTTATTTTAACTTATTTTAGTCTTGTAGTGTTATTTTATTTTCATGCATTTAAAATCTATTATATAATTTAAAAATAATAAATTTTTATTTTTGTAGAGAATAGAATATTAAAATTTATATTGAATGAGTGGATAATGGGTCCCATATATGTGTTTAAATGGATGGATAGGAATGTGGGTGTGTGTTTAAATGGAGAGAAATTTAGTGGAAAGATGATGTGGATGAGAAAGAGTGTTAATTTTTGATTGAATGAATGGTATGAATGTGGATGCCCTAACGAAAACAACATGGTGCCAAACACAGGAAATCAGTCAGTATCTCCCTCTAATTATTATTTCTTTTAAATAAATATTTGTCCTCCAAAATCCAAATATATTTAAAGATATTGATAGCATTTCAACAATCGGATAAAAGTGATTGCTAGGGTTGTTTTTTCTTTCTAATAATTAATTGAAATCCTAGGGCCCCTATCCATTTATTCATTCGACCCAACTTTCTTTTGCTACATTCTCAAAAATCGAACAAGATTTTGTACCGAGTCAAGAAGAATGAAATATCCTCAAAAAATTCCATACATACGACATGCTATTTTTTCCTTTTATTTTTTTTTTTCAGGATCAATCGCGGTCTTTCAAACTTTACCAACGATATAGACGAATTCCTCTCTTCACCCAAATCAAATTAATCCGTTTAAAATGAGTTTTTTTTCTTTTTTTTGTTAATCAAAGTTTATTTTGAAAAATAGAGTACGATTAGTTGCAGTACAATTTTGTGTTTATATTAAAATAAAATAATTAAGGTTGATTTAACGAGCACAACTATCATTTCACATCATCTTCACATCATCTATCTCACACTGTTATATCAATTAACTTTAATTCAATTAACTTTAATTATTTTATTTTAAATATTATTTTAATATAACCACTAACAAAGAATCATGCCACAATTTTTTTTAATTAATCGAATCAAACTAAAAAAATTCAAACAAAACAAAGAGTTATTGTATCCAAGAATATAGGACTTTACAAATCCAACCAAAGAGCCAAAAAAA